GGGACTAGAGGAGGTGGAAATTGAAAAGTGGGTACTTGGAATAAGGTGGAAGTGGAATTTTCTAATCTCCCTATATCAGACGGACAAAATATCGTAAAGAGAAATTGCGATGATCAATCAGGGCAAGATCCGTACTCGACCCCGTTTTGGATAGGTGCGTGCCGCCAGCGGTCTAAATCCCTGACCCTGTTTAAGACACTAAAAAGTAAAAATCCTTACCCTGTTCAAGACAAATCGGAAAAATAAGGATTAGCTATCTACGCCGCAACCATCAAAACTGCAATTATACTGACATCCATCAAAGACAATAAGACGTTTTTGATAACACGTTAATCCTGGGACAGTGAAACGGAGCAGAGCAGTCCCATTAAAATCACCACTAACATGACGCATTTTTAAAGCCCACAGAAGCCCTTCTGAATATATCTTTTTATCGTGTTTAGGAACAACATGGGCTGCTGAAATTGTTTGGCAAATCAACTGTAATGGTGACCTTGATAACAGGTTTATAGGGGAAAGAGTACCATTTTTTGATGGATTAAGACTTCGAAAAAGTCAAGACGAAAGAGGATCTAAATAATTTTTATTTAAAACATCCGTGGCCACGCATCTTTAAAGTTCATTTACGATACGATGAAGCACCTATTGGAGATAACGATGCCAACAGACCCAAGTACATCTACGTCGCTCGTAACCCAAAGGATACTGCTGTTTCTTACTTCCATCACTATAGAGGTTTTAAGATCTACGAGTTTCACCCTGATCGAACATGGGACGAGTTTTTTGATATGTTCATCAATAGCAACGGTAAACAATCTGCGTATATTTATTTAGGATTGATTAGTATACCGTAAATGATCTAAACGCCCCCGGCGTTTATTAAATTTCAATGGTCCAAGGGGAGGTGTTTATTAGAGAGAGGCGTTTATTCTAAAATATAACTGTAACAATGTAATGTACCGCATGTTATGATTTATAACTTCTACCTAAAAAAGGGAAGAAGGCCTTGTAGTTCCTAGGCGCTACACTGATAGGACAAAACGCAAAAATTGAACTAGACGTTACTCACTTAACAGTGTTAATGAAGCAAGAAGACAATTAATTGATTTATGTTACCAGCATTCCTAATTCATTTGTTTCTAGTGATGGATGGTGGTAGGGGAGGGGGAGGGCGTTTAATAGAGAGGGGCGTTTAATACAAACTTGTAAGCATAGGGGGGGGGGGGGGGGGTGTTCATTAGATAGAAGGCGTTCATTACATAGGAGGCGTTCATTAGATCATTTACGTTAATGTGATTTCCATGTATTTTATATGCTTATTTTTTTATCTATTTCATTTCGTTGTTTGATTCGCGCATGGTATTTATTATTATCAAAACAGGTTTTTTGACCAATCACAACATACACCACAATTATTTTAGAAATTGAGATCTGATGATTGTTTTCCAGTCCATTACGGCAGTTGGTTTGATCATGTGCCTAGTTGGTGGGCTCATCGAGACGACGATAACGTTCTTTTCCTGAAGTATGAGGACATGAAAAAGGTAATCCAAGATACTCCTCATAAATATCTATCCATGCGCGAACTTTATGCAGGACCTCTTTTTTTCCTTCAATTGAAGTTCAAGATTTTGATGCCACATTTTGTCAATATTATATCTGTTGTGTATTTGGGTGCTTTATTTACTCGTGAAACGACCATAAACAAAGAGCCTAGTTTTACAACACGTTTTTTGATACATCCTCTAAATGGCCAAGTAACCTGGCCTACAAAGGGAGCCCATATACAACATTCCTCCCCTCTTAAGTACATTATCTAACATAACGCGGTAATATCAACATGTATGTATTGTATGAACACAGCTGTGCTCACTGTTCTTGTTAGTCCTAGCCATCAAATGTCTTATAGACTGAGTCTATCAGGTGGTACACCCTTGGTTGTCCTTTCCGATCTTCGTAACATTTCTGGCGGGTCTGCTTCATGGTTAGGTAGACGTGGTTCTGTTGACGGACTGTTTCTCTGTGTAACCTCAGTAGAGAACATGGATCCAGGTGGTGTTTTAGGTAGCTGGTAGTCTTGCAAACGCATCTCTTCCTCTCTTTGACTGGGAATGTCTGAGGGACGTTGAATGGGGGATGAATCTTCGGCAGACCTTCCGGTCTCTTGTAAATTCGTGGTGCAAGGCGTTAATTGATCTATATGACGTCGTACTGTCTGGGTTGGATGAGAGTCCGGTTGTACCTTATACATTGCGCCGCCGAGTCTGGAGATTACTTGGCCTTTAGCCCATTTATTTGCTGATGAGGTAAAATCTCTGTACCATACCATTTGCTTTTCTTGGAAGGAGCGAGATGGCTCGAAGACAGTGGGCATCGGGTGTTGGGGTCTTGGATTGTATGGCAAGAGCAAATCCATCCTAGTGCGCAGATTTCTGCCGAACATCAGCTTGGCCGGAGACTGATGGGTAGTTGAATGCGATGTATTACGGTATTGCAGAAGGAAGTTAGCTATACGTTGGGAAGGTGGTCCTTGTCCCGTTTTGTACGCCAGCTTGAAAGTTTCCACGGACCTTTCCGCTTGTCCATTGCTCCTTGGGTGATAGGGCGCTGTAGTAGTGTGTCTTATGCCATTGCGTTGGG